CTCCCCAGGCCCGCTCCATCACCTTCACCCCTTTAAAAAATTATATAGATGCATATTCCCTCCCATACCGTTGCCTGCTGCCTGGCCCTACTATTATATTATCCTTTGTAAAGAAAAGACCACAGTTCGCACTGGGTCACCACGGTTGGTGTCCATTTCTTGTAAGTTCCTTGGCCAGATCGTAGAAACCGAGGAAGGACACGGTCGAATTGCTAGTCTGCTTCACATCCGGTACACCTAGTGATTGCGCACGCGCATTGGAGTTTGAATCTGAATAGCCACTTCGGACTCGAATTCAGACTCGAGTCTGAACAGCCACGGCCGTTATCATTATTAATGGCCATTTCTCACCTGCGGTGAGAGGGAAAGGCTTTTGGCTATTTTCATCCCGTGTGAGTCACTGTGATACCAGTGTAAACGAACATTCCAGCTCTCTTGTGTTGAAAGTATGCAATTTTGTATTCGGGCAGTGAGAGGGGGGGGGGAGGAGTAGTAGCCTAGATCTAGCGAGAACTTCTGGGCAAAACAATATGGCGACCAGCGTAGTTCGGCTCGATTCGAAAAATGAAATAGCTTTAACGTCTTTGTAGACGACCAAGTTAGTTCACTTTTGTTACTATAACATTATTTTGTGAAGTTGATCATCCACATCGATAGACAGTATTCAGAAATTAGGAAAAGCAGGTTTTGTTTCACACTGGGTGAGAATAGCCAACGGGGGCCAGTCTCACCCGAGGGGAGAGGTCGATTATATTTTTATTCTCTCCCCGGACGAGAGACGAGAATAGTCAAACTCTAATGTGCAGACCTGGTCTGCTGTATTTAGTATGTAGTAGGGGTCATGTCTGTTGTGCTTAGGGTGGGACCTTTTCCATCTATTTCTTAAAGCAGTTTTTATTAGTGTTTTTGACTCTGAGAGATCCATGCCATCTTCAATCTGGGTCATTTTGGCTCCTTCTTTGGACCACTGTTGCTTTGAAAGCAGCGGCTATTCAGACTCGAGTATGAATTGACCGCCAGAGGTACACACTACACACGGTGGACGGCCCTGACTGGTTGATTATTAGCTAATCTTACTCCCTTGAGAAACAAATAAAGATAGAGAAGACTATCGGCTCTGTGTATATGTATATGTATGTAACCAATGAAAAGTCACTTTTCAGACACAGATCGCACAGCAGAATTATGTTACTTGACGTTGCGCGGTTAAGGCTATAAAATAGAGGAACCCTGTTGAACTGCTAGACCCGCTGTTCCGCCAACTTGATGCTTGTCCTAGGGGTAGCGGTATAAGGAGGTTTGACTGTATATACATAGTGTCATAGGCCATTCCCAAAGGGGGGACATTTCTCGTTCTAATGCGCAGTAGAATTGTAAATGGGCTGATCCAACAATGTCATGTTTCTTACTGTGCCTGAACTACAACAGGGAACTGCAGCTTTTTCTTTCCTTATCCTTACTATCGTCATTTTCCTCTTCTTCTTTTGTATGTTTGTCACACTCCTGTGACCCGCTATTTCCGGGGTGCCTTGATAGTGGAAGCAGACTTTGTGCTGTTGAAGCTAGAGAGGTGAGCAGAGCAAGTCTGATTCCCTATAAGGACTTCTCTGTTGACATCCCCCCCTTTGGCACTCATATGCGAGTGCCGTAAAACCTCTACTAAATCTAAACGAAGATTCTGCATTGCACTGGGGCTTACAGCCTTTTAGGGATTAGAAGATGTTGATTCCCATTATTGATATTAGAATCCAAGTCGCTTTCCAAATCAATATTGTTGACCAAATATCACTTTACAATTACACTTGCTTTTTCTGTTTTCAAAATTTGTTAATTAATGACAGTGCAGAGATTTAATACTGGCTGTTCTGGAAAATCCATGAAATTAATCCTGGGTAATTTTTCCCCTGACAACAGGCAACCCTCACCTTATATACATGGTATGGGTCTAACGACCCTATCAACACTATTAGGTTATTTAAGGGGCGGGACCTCCTAGTTAATGTCCTTCTCCGATAGGACCGAGCCAAGTGGGAAGTTCGTGTAAAGTGCCTTTCCCAAGGACACAACGTCGGACCGAGCTGAGGCTCCAACCCCTGAATCCGCAATCTCACGATTAGGGTTCCGGTAGCCTGACCACTAGGCTATCACCTCCTTAAATCTCAAATATCTTGACTTTTATTCAAGATTGATGGATATTTATTGTCATCAAAAGCAAGATAAATGAACAAGTTTGAAGATAATACCAATAATACCCATGTTCCCGCACAATGATGAGCACCTGATTCCACGTCACAATGTCTCATTATATTCTAAATTCTTGTTTGCTTTTCAGTTTCCTTGTCCTTGATCCTTGTGACTGGTGTGTGATGGGGCTTCTAATTATCACATGATGCTATCACTTGTCAATGGCTTCCTTATTGGGGATTTTATTTTCAGGGCTGAACATTCTCCGTTGTTTCTCTCTTTGTTAACAGGAGGACGAAGAGTGGAAAGACTTTGAGGAGGAGAAGGAAGTGGACTACTCTGGTCTGAGGATTCAAAATATGCAGATTGCGTGAGTACAATTCAAATCAAAGGCTCAAAAAATGTAATTTTGCAGTTTCTGAGTTCACTGGAAGTCACTAAACTTTGACGGCCATTTACTCTCTAAATTTACCTCGTGTCACCAGGTGATCCCCGTTACCTTCGAACGCTAATATTTTGATATCTAAGAAAGATGAGTTGTTTTTAGTTTTTTAAATGGAAAGCAAGATGAATAAACAAGCTTTATGATGATCCCAAACACTCCATATGCCCAGAAATTGACGAGCTCCTGATTCCACCATGTCGTGACACTTGTTAGTTTTGTCTTGTTTTTTTCGTTGTGTTTTTTTTTTGGCATAAAATGGCAGTTACTGTATCAGTATGCTTCTATTTACCCCAACAAACTAAACAACTCGTGTCATAAAGTCGGTGTGCTTCTCTTTACTCCAACAATCTAGCAGCAAAGAAGAGCAGGATAAGGAAGCTGCCGATGCAGAGGAAGAAGGAGAAGATGAGGATGGAGAGAACAAGGAGAGGAGGAGTGGAGCCTCTGGACCCTGGAACAAGAGCAATGAGACTGGCAACGTGTCCACACCAGGTGGGTGACAGTTGTGGCGTTACCAAACTGCTTTTTTAAAAAATGAAATTTTTACTTTATACTTTTAGATACTTCAACCATTATGAGTTGTCGCAAGCAAAGAGAAGTCAACCTTGAGGACCAATCACTATGGTACGGATATGAAATTTTCACTTGTCCTATCTTGAGTCTCCAAGATCTACGCCGATTTTATTGCTGCTCTTATTGATCGCAAGCGAACAGGGATTGTAGGCAAGGTTATCTTACTGGAGACTACTGTATTAAAAATACGCCGACGCAAGATGTATTTTATATTTTGGGGTAGGCCGTCCCCATAGGTCTACTCTTAAGAGTGTGTTGAAAACTGTTTGTTTAGTTTTAGTGAGGCTTTTACGGCCCTTGCAACACAAATAGGTCATGTAAGTGCCAAAGATTAGAGGTGTTAATAGAAAGTGACATATAAGGAGGAGAGATATAAGGATAATATATGTTTGATAAGAAAGAAGGAGCAAACCGTACCAGAGTACCCGCTAACCACCCACAAAGTTGTTACAGGGTTCCTTTTGTGTGATAATTTCTCTCTCCTCCTTCATTCCTATCAAACATCTATCTTATCTCTCCTCCGTCCTTCTTATCGAATATCTACCATCCTTATCTTCCTCCATCTTTCTTATCAAAGCGGGTGGTTGGCGGGTGCTCTGGTGTGGTCTGCTTTTTCTTTCCTGTCAGACATCTATCATCCTTATCTCCACCTTCTATTTTATGTTTGTTTCTCTCTTGTAACACCTCTAATCTTCTGGCGCTCATATGACCTTATGCAGTTGCGAGTGCCGTAAAACCTCTACTAAAACTTTAAAAACTTTCTTATCAAACATCTATCATCTTTATCTCTCCACCTCCTTTCCGGTCAAATATCTACCGTCCTTTTCTCACCTTCTTTTCTTTGTATGTCACTCTCTATTAACACTTTTGTCTTGGGCACTTATGTGACCTACTTTTGTTGCAATTGCTGTAAAACTCTGAGCAGGGTCCCTGCGGCCTCCTTAAGGCAGAAGTCCTTGAATACTCTTTGAATTTGCGTTCAGGGAAAAATCTCCTTGAAAACTCCTTGATTTTTGCGGGATTGGACTTTGACAAAAATTTTGTCGCAAAATTGAAACTGCGATTCCTTTCGGACAAGTGCAGGCCTATTGGAGAAAGGCTTTCGGCATGCATTTCTTGACCAAATCTCCTTGAATTAAAAGCATTTTTCCTTGAAACTTCCTTGAATTTGGTGGGGAGTTCATGGCAGGAACCCTGTCTGTGGGTGGTTGGCGGGTGCTCTGGTAAGGTTTGCTCCTTCTTTCCTATAAAAAATCTATCTTCATCTTTCCTTCTTTTTTTGTGTATGTTATTCTCTTGTAGCACATCTATTCTTCGGCACTTATTTGACCTTATTGTGTTGCAAGTGCCATAAAACTCTTTCTAAAACTAAAAGAACCCTG